CCCCAAAACCCCAAAACCCCAAAACCCCGAGCTTCAATAATACATCTATAAGAGGGTGGAGTACTTATTTAAATTCAATAATTTCACTAGGCAAGATCAATAACTGAGTGGTCCATTAGTACTCTTTCACTCAATATGGTATAATTCTTCTCTTGCATGTTTGAGTAACTGGTGAGAGAGGCATTAACATAGCTAAATCTAATGCCTCCTCTAAGTTTGCCACCTCCTAGTCCTCCTCCAGCAAGAAGCCTGGTGACTATAAGTTTATAAGAAAATATGAATAAGTTACAGTTTTTATGATAGCTCCTGTTAGCTTTGAGTATTCCATTTCTGATTCTTCTCTTTCTATCTTCTTGGTGCAATGTATCCATGTGTGTTTAATTTAGATAGGCTCATCAAACATTGGTAGATACTAAGCAGTGAATTGCAAGAGCTATTGCATGTTCTTCTGAATGAAAGAATTTGATTTGTCATTCACCTCTTTCATCAAATCTTGATCATTGAACTTCGATAAATCTTTCAGAGTGTTGAAAGTTTGATAAAGGCAGGTGTCTTTAGCGAATTCTACTAATGTTCTGAACATACCAAACATTCCTAATATTTGAGTTATCGATTGAAGTGTTTACTGAAGTATAGAGCCTTAAGAGCACCGAGAACGAAGAAGCACTAGAGTGTTTCAGCAAATATATCATCTGGTAGTTAATCTAAATCAAATAGACCAAGTAGATAAAATGCTTCAAAAGTTTGGGCCTTAAAGCATCCTGCTGATTCATCAGCTATTAAAGGTAAAAAGTAATATTGCTTACTTCTGAATTAATTGATTGCAATTTTAGATGCTCTTTTGACGTTTTTAGCTGCTAATTAGTCATATACAGTATCTTACACTCCCTACTTTTTTTATTCTTCATCATTTTCAGTTTGATTTAATTCGAAAACTGATTCAAGCATAGTCTTTAATCTGTTATCTTATATTGTTTCAATCAATTTCTAGCTAATATTTGCAGATTCAGATTCCAGTGCCTTCAGTATAAGCAAAGTGCTCACATAGTCTAAGGATCTTGGCATAAACATCTTGGACACGGCAAAAGCGTATTCTAGATTGTTACTTAGCAACAATTTTTATATAGCTTTCTTGGAATCTTGGAGGGAAAGATGAATTGCTGATGATAAAATAGGCAGATTCTAATTGAACTTCTTCTGAGCCTAAGCAACAGTGAACTCATCCAGTTGCTTGTCATTAGGGCCTAAGTCATTGATTGATTTAATAGATTAAAGACTATTTGCTTAGAATCTCTCATGCCTAGAAAGAGTATCTTAAAAGATACCACCAGACATATGCAGTGATTTAACCATTAAAGCATCTTGGGTTTCTCCTCTCTAATGCATTATCTGTGCTGCCTCCTCCACTTAATTTAAAAGCAAGAGATAATGCACTTTCTCTTGTTAAGGGTCAATATACTTTCCTGATTCATTGACTTGAGGTTTCTAGCTGATCTCAGTCAGATAATCAATGTATTTCCTGATGCTGTTGTGCCAGTATTTGAGAGACACCTTTGGAGCCACTGCAATCGCTGCTTCATAATTATTTAGCTGCATCATTATTTCACAGTAGTCTTAGAAACTTCCTGATTTCAACATCAGATTGGCTGACTCTTTGAGTCTATCCTCTTTTTTAGAGAGAGCTGTTCCAAGTAATTTTAAGCCTGAAACCTATTGTAAATCTTAGGCCTTAGATTTATAGGCAGACGTACTATCTTAAATATGGAAAACTCTGCTGTTTGTAGCTTCCTGAGTTGGTCCCTTTCCAGACATTATGGAAATCATGTACCAAAGTTCTAAATCACCGTCTTGCTGATTGAAGTATTTCAGTACCTAGACTAATCTTTCAATTTAGCTTTGCTTTCTTATCTATGTAAGGAGATTCTTGCTTTGCTCTCCAGACAATTTACCCTTGACTTCAGGAATCATTTGGTCATGAGAATCACAGAGTGTCTCAACTAGTCCGAGGTCAAGCAGGAACTTCATTTGGGTTTGAAAAACATCAGGGATGCTCATTAAATCCCAGAATATCAAGCTGTTATCTAAATGAGAAGATACCAGAGTGAATGGCTTTTTAGGATGCATAGTAAACGATGAAGTTGAAATGCAAGGCTCATAAGTCTCATATATCAGCTTATTTGACCTGATATCCCACATCCCAAGGAATGAGTCATCACCTCCTGATATCAGCAACCAAGGCAACTCATGATTCCATGACAAACTTCTCACTCTTGATTTGTGATACTCTAAATTTTTGTGCCCATTCTCTTGCGAATATAAAATTAAAGAAACTTACATTTTTTGTGTCCCAAACACGAACGAAGTTGTCTGAAGACCCTGAAGCCAGAATATAGTCAAACTAAGGATGCCATTTAAGGCAAAGCACTTTATCTGTGCAGCCTACTAGTTCTTGATTGATTTTGTAACTCTCACTGTCGATCAATATAATTGAACCATTGAATAAACCTGCTGCAACAATGTTAGGTTTTTATGGGTTCCAGGATACAGATCTAACTGGATCATTTAAATTAATGCTCTTAGTAATCTCCAATTTGTTATGATCATATTTCAAGAAATAACTATATAAGTTTAATAAGATTATTTACATAAATCCATCTTCAGCTACGGCTGCAATCCCAAATATTCCCCAATCACAGTCGAATATTTGCGATTACGATATTTCTAGTTTCTAAGCAATTTTATTTTTCTTGACATCAACAAGTTTGACAAATCCAGCTGCAGTACCAAGCACTAAGATTTCATCTTAAGGGTTGCTTTAGATTAGTTGCCAGGCAAGAGCATTTATTTGATTGTCTTTTTCACCTTTGCTGCCTCTGTCTTCAATAATGTTAACCACAGTCATCTCATTAGAGTCCCATATTCTGATTGAGTTATCATAACCTACAGTTGCCATCTTTAGATGATTATTTGGATTGATTGCACACCTTTAGACTTGGCAAGTGTGAGCAACTTCAGTCTAAAATAGTATTTTTCTTTTTCTCAAGTTGAAGACTGTAACTTGACCATTCTTAAATTATAGCAGAAAGACTGCTTGCTTTCCTTTAATTGGAGCTATACTTGAGATGCCATGCGGGCCTACTTTGATCATATCCTTAGGAACAGGATTTGAGGCATTCCACAGTCTCAAAGCTCCGACCTTGTTAGTTGATGTGACAATATCTCCTGAGATATTATCTACCCAGGAAAAAGAAGATATCCCAGTTGGCTGCTTTTCGAAGATCATAGCTAAGTTGCAAGATTCTGTAGAATACATAGTCATAATACCGTTTTCATACTGCGCAATGATGAGGTTTTCACCTGGGTTCCAGCAAAGATCAACCACTGGCAATTATATATTTTTATCCATCATCTGCTTAGCTTTTGTGTCCATGTCGTAAATATATATTATTCCTTCAATTGTACCCATAGCCAATTGTCGTTGCTTTAAGGAAATATGTCAAAACTAAATTTTTATCATACCTTTTTTGGATTCCACTTTGAGATAGTAATTTCCTCAGATACCGAGAATGGCTTTTCTTACTTTTTAGTGATGATATCTAGAATTCTCAAGTCATCAACCAAAACACCTAAAGAAAGTGTTCCTTTATTCATTCTGTATTCTTACTTCTTTTAAAAACGAATGAAATTAGATTAGTGTCCCCTTCATTCCAGTCAATATGTTTAATTCCCTTGTCCATTTCAAAAGTAAACAAGTTTTTCTCTGTTGAGAGATCCCATATTTCGAATGTGCTATCCATGGCCAGGCATCCAATAATGCTGGGATTTGTTGGGTGGAAGAGTATATGAGTGACACTCACATCGCAAAACGGTAAAATCTTCTCTAGTCTGAATGTTTTCAAGTCGTAAATGTAAACATGTGAGTCACCTGCATATGCAAATCTTTGCTGATTTGAACATATGGTCTGCTTGGACAGGAAAGTTGAACCAGAAGGTACTAGTTTCTATAGAGTGCTTAGTAAATGTGATTATGATTACCTGTTATCTCATATTTGTATTGAAAGATATTTTAAATTATTAAATTCTAAAACAGTTTGTAATCGAAATCACTCGGGGTTTTGGGGTTTTGGGGTTTTGGGGTTTTGGGGTTTTGGGG